ACCTCGGCGCGCGCGGGCGCCGGCGGCGGCGCCGCAGGGAACTTAAGCGGATCGGTTCTGTGTATCGGCTGCGAATCCGCGCGCTTAAGAGTTGCGGCGCGGCGTGGCAGGACGAGGCGCGCAATGGCGGGATGCGGCTGTGGTAGGAAGCTGCGTGCCAGGACGGCGCGGAGGGAGACGGGAGGAGGGGAGATATTGTGCGGTATGGGGTGGCGGGATGCAATGTATAAGGCAAAATGAAATGAGGCAGGATTGATTGATTATTTAGTGATTCCAGGCCCGTCAACTACAAGGTTCATTAGTACTGTAAGTGTAGGGGGTGGCCATGACATTTCTGTATGGCGAGATCCGGCGCCGACCTACCGTTGGCTAGCGCGGGAAAGAGGCGGGAAAATGTAATGAGACGAGGAGCTAAGCGAGGCACGAGCGGAGAGGTGTGGGATGTAATGTGGTGGGAGGTTGACTTAGGCGGGAATAAAGTTCGGGACGGGGTCTGAGCAGAGGCCAGAAGGGAGGGATTCAGTAGAGGCCATCAGAGAGAGGAGAGGCAGGGGAGGGATTGCCAGCGGGTTGCGGAGCACAGAGAGCAGCAGGGAGGTGGCCGGTAAAGGCGAAGCGGAGTTAAAAGATTTGAGGAAGGAGAATGATCAGGCGAGATTTAATGATGGAATGAGAAATCACAACCTGAAGTTAATAGATGAGATGCAGTGGGAATATAACATGATTGTAAAAAATACACAAAAAGTATGTGAAAAAAGATGCGAGTGAACCTAGCACGGATGTTAAAAAAATACAATTTTCTTGTGACATTGCAATAATCGAAGAGAACGAGAATGCAATAAATGGAAGTGTAAAATAGTGTGAAAAAGTATTCTGCAGAGTTAGAAGGTAGCAGTGGAGGATCCTAGAAATACTTTGCCTGAGCAGGGATTATGGCTTACGAGGTCAGAAGTTAGTGGGGCGAAAGGTCACGAGTAAAGGAAACGGTGGAGGGGAAGAGGGTGTCTGCACTGTGCGGAGAAACATTACTTGCCTCGCACCCAGAGGGCAACATTCGAATGGTGGGTGTAGTAAGAAATTGGTGAGTAAGAGGAGACAGAGTAAAGATGGTGTGACTGTACGAACGACGAGACGGATCGCGAACATTATTTGAACGCCAAACCACGTAAGAACGACTGATTAATTGCCATTTACATTAGGTTGCCAGTTTCAGGGTCATCGCGTCATCCTCATTGTAATTAGTTCCGTAAGTCTATCAAGTTCTATTCCTTCACGTGATTCTTATTCTTCTTCTTCTTCTTCGCCGCCGACGGAACGTAAAATCCGGCGCCAACCTACACGTCAGACAGAGACTTCTTCCCCTTCAGGTATCAGCCAAAGTGACCCCACATATGTTTACAAAACATCGATAATTAAAAAAAAATTGATTAAATTCGATATTTTTTAATATAGATTTCTGCGTTCTTTGTGATTTTGTTATGAATGTTTTGGTTGTATGAGAAATTTTCACAATTACAACTTTGTAAAAGTTAAATACGAAATAATGCTCGATAATTTCACTGCAAGTTTGTGTGTGATGCATGTTCGACAATGTCAAAGGTTTCTAACTACCTACTCATCGAGCAGCCTATCTCTTCCCCGAGAGATGAATCCAACGTCCTGGTATTTCCTCCGCCTTCCCTCGCACGTTCAGAGATGGCCAACGCACGTGCAGTAAAGTCTTCCGTTCTTCGCGCATCCTTCAACTAAAGAAGCTCTGGTCCCTTGGGATGACTCAGGGTTTCAGGCTCCATTTTTTGTACTCTATTTTAGTCCGTTTAGCCCGATAAATTTTAATTATAAATGAATAATTCAGGTCACTGTCAAATTAAATTCTTCGCCGCAAGAACGTAAAAGTGAGAGCTTACTATACCGCTTAGAAAAACATCGACGGTGTGGGGCGATGCAGTATTATTATAGATGATTTAACTTTGAACATCGTTGTTTTTGAAACACGGTCCGACCCACGAGAACTGCACCACCGTATCGATCGGAGGGTCCACAAAAGTCGATAGAGCATCCGTAAGCTAACATTCGTCTTCAGCGGTCGAATTCGATCCGATTATATTGCCAGTGTAGAAAATCCGCCGCTGCCGGGACTCAAACTTCGTGTCCTGCAGGTCAGGGACGCAGCACAGGCAGTGGAAATGATGCCACTGTGCCAAAACCACAAGAGAATAGCGAGTTAAAAACGCGTGGGAGGCGGGACGTGTGGGATTTACATGCGGCGAAATGCGCGTGGGAAGTAGAGCCCCTAAGGAGCAGCCGGAGGGCGCTCGGCTGGAGAACAAGCGGCAGACTAAGCACTTGGGTAGGAGTCGGAGGGGGCGCGCGGGGGCGGGTAGGAAAGCGAAGACGTGGGGGCCGGCTAGGGGCGCCAGTGCGAGTGGAGCCCAGTGGGCGGGCCAGCGGGGACTAACGACGTGGCAGACCACGACGTGGGAGGCTTAAAAAGGTGGAAGGAAAGCTGCGAGCGAAGAGGCGGTGAAACCTCGAAGGGAGCTGCGATGAGACAAGAGGGCATTGGCTGGAATACAGCTCAAAGACGAGTGTGGGTGGAGGTCTCTGGTATACTCGACGCGGCAGCTCACGCTGGAGTACCTGGCGAGGCAATGATTGAGAGCGAAGCGGACGGTGAGAGCGGCGGGGCGGGGCGAGGCGGCGCGAAGGCGAGAGCGGGCGGGGCGAGCGAGAGCGTGATCGCATGACCGGAGTTGGCGACGAAGATAGGCGCATGTGGCCCGCGCGCGGGAGGGAGCCCAGAGAGAGGGCGGGGCGACAGCGACAGGGCGAAGGCGGGGCGCTGACGAAGGAACCCAGGGTACGAGGGCGTGCGGCGGAGACACGAGACAGCGCAGTGTTATTGGGTGAGTGTCTGATTTGGCGACCAAGGGCAGGAACTGCGGGAACGGCAGGATAGCCATGGGGTACGCCACGGATGGGGAGAGCCGGGCGCAAGGTGAGAGCTAGGACGAGAGTGAGGGTTGAGGCGAGCGGAGGCGAGGGCGGAGGCGAGGGGGAGGCGAGGCGAGGCGAGGGGCGATGGACGGGGTTGGGAGATAGAAGGTGGGCCGGCGCGAGAAGGTCAGAGCGCGGGCGGGTGGCGGGGGAACCCAGAGAGAGGAGAGGCGAAGCCGCGGGCGTGGGTGAAAGACAGGACGTGGGCGGTGACGGAGGGAGACAGGTCCGAGGGGCGTGGTTCGGAGCGAGCAGGGAGTGTCAGGGGGGTGTGTGTCTGTTGGGCGACCCAGGGGCGGGGGAGTGGGCGGAGACGGGCAGGAGAGCACCAGCGCGTCCCTGACGGGAGGGAGGACCGGGGGCGAGCTGGTGGGGCGGGAGGCGGAGGTGGGGCGGGGGCGGGAGCGAGTGCGTGGGCGGAGACGCGCGTCGCCTAATCCGCCTCCCCGCGAGGCGCCAGCTCCGGCTTCTGTTCGTGCGTAGGCGCGCCGCGCCGGCAGATTACGCTGCCACTGGGAGGCACGCCGCCCTGCAAAAAGAGATGCAGCCGCAGATACGCAGCCGGTTATTTTTACTTCCCACCAGCATGCTCAAGGCGCGACAACTGACAAGGAAACGGGACTACTGTTCTGCAGAGTTATAAGGATATGACATGTGCGTTGTGCAGAGAAACATAAGCGACACAGATATTCTAGGACATTTTCTGCTACCACATTTTTCTCTCGAAAATGTGATTCCATGGCAACTACCTCACTTCCTTTTTTGCGCTGATGTAGATATCGAAATGTTGTTTCTAAAATAAAGTAAAGCTGCAGCGCTGACATTTACTAATTTATTAAACTAGACGACACAGATTTTTATTTACGAGAGGAAGGTTCTATTTATTATTTCAAGAGTGACAAAATAGGAGTGAGTGAGGTATCTTTTTTGAGTAGATAAAGTGACTTTTTCGTCAAAGTAAATTTTGTTTATTCCTTTCGCTTTAATAAACCATTAAAATATCTTGCTTTCTAAAGAAATGCTTAATGAAACTGAAGTACCTGCGAAATGGCACGTTCTAGTTTGGATATTTTTAATTTGGATGACGAAAGGAATCTTCATTGAAAAATGATGTTAGCTTGCTTTTCAGAAAAGTTAGAAAATGCCAATTATCGTCTTTCAATCATATTATTCAAAAATGAAAAACACCCTGTGTATGAAAAGGTAAGTATATTTTTCCATAACATATTATTAAGGTAAGGCTTTTCCCAACAATGCAATTTTTACAAAATATAACAAATTAAATTATAGTTTTAAATGTGAAAAAAACCTTCATATTGGAACACAACTTTCATCGTTTGCGGGAATATGGCGTTGGTATGGAATGTCGGAACCATCGAAAAATATTACACAACGTCCAAAAAAGGTCTCATTTTGTAAATTACACAATTTGTGAACCAGGCCAACAAAAAAATGGAAGCAAATTCTCCGAGTAATGCACGACGGTGCACTGTACTGAGGTGCGTGTTCTGCTGACTGAATGAGCGTCTGATATCCGAATGTGATATAATTTTCGAACTTTTGTTGTCTGTCTTAAATCTCCTGTATGTACTCCTGGACGGTAAATCCATATCCAGCAATTACGAGATTTACGTCAATGTTTTGTTATAAAATGGAATATTTAGACATCTTTCCTTAGCTTATTGTGTAGAGTGGATAATCCCATTTGAAAAGTTGCCTAAAATAAACAGTACAGCCGGCGTGTTTGATGAATATAAAGAATTACTTTAACGTGTGCTCCCGTACGTCAAAAACGGCGTTTTCTTTGTCTTAAATAGTATGAAACAATTTGGAGCGCTGGTAATTATTGAATTAGACCATAATGAGATCATATCATTTGCATATCAACTGTCTAGCAGAAACTGACTGCGGTTATCTTAAAAGTTCATGTTTCATTCAACATTGTGCTATGTTACATTCCAGAACATCCCAGTACAAGTTTGCTATTTCCTTGTAAACAAGTACGATTATTTTAGTTTAAAATATGGAAATTATAATGAAACAGAGAATATGTTATTGAATTTAAACTTTCTCCTTTCCACCCTTAAAAACTTGTCCCCTATTGCCATGGGCTCGAAAAATGAAATAATTGTATATACAATAATTCCAACAGTCAATGAGTCATTTTGAATGGTATGATTGATTCATCTCCACCAGCGGGATACGCCTCCAGCCGGAACAGGCTCTAAACTCCCAAAATGTGTGATTGTGCGGTGCGTGTAGTATGTTTTCAAGTGTGAAAATAGGAGAAGATATGGCAAGAAAGAAGAAGGAAAGATCATGAGCAGTCCGTGGCCCGTTCGTCAGGATACAACTCCGGCATTTACCTGGAGTAGATCAGAGAAACCACGGCCTACTACCGATAGGAGCAGCCTTCAGCTAGAGTTCTTCTTCAGGCAGCGGAAGTCGACCTAGTTATGTAGCTAGTGCCGCTCATCAGCCACTGTCGGGACTCGAGTCCTCCCCGGCGAGAGTCGCTGGCTCTACTCACACATGACGCGCAGCGGGACGGCGTTGGACTCCCCGTCGCCTTCCACGTTGCTGGCGAAGCAGCTGTAGTTGCCCGCCTGCTCGCGCCGCACGCCCTGCAGCGCCAGGTCGTGGTTGATCAATAGAACACCCGCCTTTGGGTTATGTTGCACTATACGACCCTGTAACACAAGAGACATGTCGCCACCACATGAATCGGACATTGCCACTCGGATATTCTCCGTGAGTGCCATTCAGTTAGATACATCACAGGAGGTAAAGTGGGAAAGCAATTGCGATGTAGATATATTTTTGAATACCAATGAAACATAATAATTAAACACGTATCACTTGCGTGCAGTATCTTTTACGGCACAAGGTGATATATTTTTTTCTGGTTGACAATTATGGACATGGAACTATAAAAAATTGGATGAAAATTCTATATCTTAAAAACCTTTCTGAAATAAAGAATAAGTAAAAATTATTTACGAATAACTATATTTAAATCATTGATATCTCCAAAACGAAGTTCTTAGTTTTGAGTGCGACCATATAAAAGGATGTCTGTACTATGGAATAGTATGCTGGGGGGCTAGAATGACAATAAATCATTATGTATCATTTAATGATGCACATAAAACTCATTTACCACATATTTTTATGCTAGTCAATGCAACACAGGGTAATACAGGGAAATGACCTGTTGTTTTTAACATGACTAATTTTTAGTACTTACTTCAGTCAAGTATTTATAAATAACTGGTAGTCATTAATATATTTATTTGTATTGTGAAATTAGACTTTAGGAAATAAATATGAACTTCCAGGTTTTTAAGAAATAATTTGTAACTCTATAGTAATGCATTATAAAAACGCTTAAATGACACTCTTAAATAACATAGATAATTATTTTGCATTTTTGGACAAACTTTAAGTAAATATACAATGAAGTTGCCAAAATCGTGTTCCTTGTATTTTGTGTCTTGTACTTCTTTTGTAAAACACCCATAGGTCATTTGGTGTGAACACATACGGGAACGTGTACTGCTGTGATCATATTGAACATTTTTGGAATATTTCCTGCTAGCTGATTCTTTAAAACAACATGCAGACTCTTCTTCATTCCAGTAAATGTTTCCTTCACTACATCGTAAATAACATTTTTATTCTTTTACTTAGAAGCCCTAACAAGCATTTACAAATTGTAAAATCTCTTTTTTTTCTCTTGGGTTTCAATATTAAATTAATTTCACTAAAATGCTCTTTTATGCTATTTTGTTGAAATTTTTAAATATTCTTCTCCTTCGTTGCCTTTAATTACATTTTGTAGATTTTTTTTAATTTATTATTTTCGATTAACTTAACGTGCTATGAAGTAATATTTTCATTTAGCACTTATCGGTTTAATATTATAAATTCTAAAATATATAAAATCAAAAAAATAAAATGTAAGCTAGCTCATTTCAGGTCCGTGTATCGAGAAAGATGGATCAGATTGTCATAAGAGGGTGGATCAAATTGGATGACTATGCTCTACATCGGTTAATGTGTTTCACAGATTCACTTAATTATAGAAATAACAGGATTTACTGTTCAATACAAATTTGGCACCTAACACAAGGCATTTTTCAAATACGGGTACTTTGAAAATCACTATCGGTCGCAACTATCGTGCTTCATAAAGGAGGAAGTGTAGCGACTAGTGTGAGAAATGCGCTCGACGCTGTGCTCTCCCCCTCGTCCTCTCTTTGAACTGACGTAAAATTACCTATTTATTTATATAATATTATTTAAGAATGACTACTTGTAGCAAAAATGAATATTGTTTTCATTCTGCACATTTGTTTCTATAACACCGGTATCCGTAGAGCATAGTTATCGCAATTTCACTTCACTCATTTTCATTTCAACTATATTTATTACCCACTTTAGTTCGAGTTTCTGTGTAGAAATTCAAGTTTGAGCGAGTCCGTCGGAAGAGACAGTCTGTCGGAGAAAATTCCCAACAACATGCAAACGTGTTCTTGGGCGATTAACACACTCTTTTACTTCGCTCTTAAGTAGAGAAAACAATCGCTACAAACACCGACAGGAGTTGCACGGCAGGGAACGAATTCCGCCCCCTTCCCACCCGCGCTCCAGGCGCTTGTTCCTTGAAGAAGGAGTTCCGGGCGACGCAAAAGATCCATTCCTTCTTCCTCTGCCGACGAGCAGCGCCGTGGGCGGCGCGCGCGCGAGCCTTGCAACTCCCCCTCCCCCTCCCCCCCTCTCTCTGTCTCTCCCGCTCCTTCTCCGCCGCGAGGCAATCTTAGCGTTCCAAGCTCTCCTCGCTCAACTCCGCGCTTTGAGCTCCCCCGCTGCGCTGCGGAGCTGGGTCACCCTCCCACCGTTTCAATGCCCGTCTTCTTCTAACTGCCGTTCCATCGCTTTGCCTCCGAGATTCGTTTTCTACCTGTGACACCACACCCTTGATTGTCCGCATCCGCCAAAACCGCCTGGTCTGTCACTGCCACCCTCGGAGAAACGCGTGCGTGCGTTGAAGACGCGATTTACCTGTATCGCCATGTCCTTCAATGGAGAATCTGCCCTTTCTTCTGTCTCTCTTGTTTCCGTCTTTATTGACTTCCTCCGTCTACATTCCCCGCGCATTCCACTCGATATCCTCTATCATCATTTCAGAACATCCTTGTACCCCTATTGGCATACCTCGCTTGAGTCTTTAATACCGTCATTATTGCAGCTATCAAATTAGGCACTCGCTAATTTCTCTTCTGCTCCGAGAAGTCCAGTGCCCAATTCCCGGCACTGTAACTAACCTCTCTCCCTCCTCCGTGAATTCGGCTATTGCCACCACTACCAGCTTCTCTGGTCTCACTATCTCCCAAGTTCCTGTCTTCATCGTCCACCCTGCCATCACATCCGTGTCCTCTTCCCCCGCAACGGATCGACTCCGTCGCCAGAGCGCGGCTTCATCACCACCGTCAGCAAATCTGCGCGCGCCTTCACTCCCACCCTCAGCGCAGCCATCGCTTCCAGCGCTCCGCCAACACCGCTTCCACCCCGACCGCAACCCCCTGCTCCCTCCGCCGCCGCCGGCGAACAGAGGTCTTCTCTTGCGAGGGGGCGGCGAGAAGCCGATTTCCGGTTCCGGGCGGGCGGTGTCCACGGTGCTCTTATCAACGACCCCAGTGCCCGGCGACGGAGCGGCCCTGGCCGAGGGGAGGCGCTGCCGGAGATTTCCGGGCCTGGAGAGGAACGAATCGTTCAGAGCCGTTCATCTTAAATTTCCAGATTCAATGGTTTCGTGGCCGTTCACAAGATTGAGATTGACATCTCACCCGAGAGAGTGAACGGCAGAGGCGAAAGCCTGAACTTCGTGTCATCACTGTTATTATCAGCCTTGGTATCCATATCGAATAACATGAACCTAAAAATACCTACATATAGACTAAAAGTGTTCAAAATATGGAGTAAAAAATGGAAAGACATCTGAACAAAATGTTCAAAATACTGAAAACAATATATATGAATCAAAAGTACAAGTTATATATATATTGTGACGTACCTGGGAAACGGTACTTTCACGACAAATAAAATCATATAAAGGACGGGTACATTTTCGTGAATGGGTCTCCAGGGGGAATTGACGCTGCATTAGAAGAATATTTAAAAGAATTCATTTGTGCAATTGGAGGTTTAATAATTGACACATTATATACATTAAGTCTTTACAATTCGCAGTGCGCAAGGCCTTTTAAATAGTTCGTGCACGAGTAACGCTACCTTTGAAGCTTCCGATGTCCACCGGCTGACTGGAGGCGAGCGTGGCCACCGTGGCGACGGCGGCGGCGCGCTCGGCAAACTCCGCTCCGTCCCGAAGTTGTCCGGAAGCCGATTTCGGCGGTTGGCTCCGTGTACTGGTCCCAACACGCAGCGGCGTCCCGTCGGCAGCCCCGAATTACAGCCGTTTTCCTCAATCCCCACACGATTGTTCGCACGGTGCGGCCCGCTGCTGCATTACATCCAGGCGGACATGAAATGCGTGTCTATCGATCACTTAAATTCTACTGTTAATGTTTTTTACGAATCCGGTCCTGGTTCGCACTACTGTTTCTTCTTATCATCTGATACTGTATTTTGGCACCTCTAATCTCCCACTCAATAGCTATAATCAGTTCCCCACTGTTGTTAATTTCACCACACATTTGTTTGGGGCAGCACAGCCCATCTACATTGCGCCCGCGGCTTCTCCGTCTATATTTTCACCTGGCGCTAGCGGCCCCTCTGCGCAATATTACAGCGCCGGCGCGTGGCCTCCCCGTCGGTTACAACCCGGCGCTATCGTGCTGCAGTTGTCGCTACTACACCCGGCGCTCGTGGCTGCCAGTTGCACTGACGAACGTCACTCGCGTCCGCCACTGCCCCGGTTGACCGTTGGTGGCAGCGGTGGGGCGTCGTCACTGCGCTGATCGAATCAGCGTTTCTCTTCTTATAAATTAATATCAGTTTTACTAATTAGTATTAAATTCGTTCTTCGTTTCAATAATATATAATATATTCATAATATATTATATATATATATATATATATATATATAAAGAAAACTGAAATATTTAATTTTAGTTGTAGAATAAGGTTTAATAATGTTTCGTAGTACAATAGAATGAACAATATTTTGTTGCTGGGAGTACGATTCTTAATCCTTTTCTGCTAATTGGCCACTTACAAAGAAGTTACATCATGATCCACTTTAAATTGTACCTAAAGGTAAAAAACATTCAAATATTATTTTGAAAGACCATAATACTGAATATATTGCAAATACTGATTGCAAAGATCCGGTAGAATTTTAAATGCATAAAAGTATGTCTTATAATGGAAATTGGACAAATATAGATAATCAAATATCTTTAAAATCACTTAAAAAATCCTCATTCAATATGACAAAAATTTGACAGTAATTTTAGCTGTAGAATACGGTTTAATTTTGTCTCGTACTACAATAGAATGTTAGTTGTTATTATTATAATTATTATTATTATTATTATTATTATTATTATATTATTATTATTATAATTATAACCAGACTTCAAAATAAACACGAATGTGACTTACATTGAAATAATTATCATGAACATAAATTTACTAAAAAAAATTTCCGGAGCGCTGTGCTAATTATACTATGTGTATAATTGAAATGAATGGCTAGTAATTAAAAAGCTATTAAGGAAATGGCATGTAGACAAAAATAGGTATAATAAGTTTCTGGATAAACTAAATAATTTATGTAATCTACGTTATTCATAAGGTGATTAAGTAGTGATGTTCAACCACTCCGTGGCGCTAAATGCGAAACAATGGCTAAATGAAGCTCTGGGTTTGGAAGTAGTTGGGTATTTCACATGTGTTTGTTGTTAACTGTCATTAGGTGCTTTGACAATCACCTAGACACAATACAAAAACGTCAATCAATACACGTTAATATGTATTAATTAATCCTATGGTTTTGAAAGGTTTTGTACCTCTAGCCCACTCAATAGTATGACAGGAAAGGCTACCAAATAATGTATCAAGTCATTCTTCGTTAATTCAAATAGTATCAACATAAAATTGAAGTAATATATTCAACTGTGATTCTCTGCGTCATTTATCAATTTTCAAAGTTCTCATAATTCAACACTTCACTTGGGTTGAGCGCATCACTTATGATGGTGGCCTGAAGATTAAATCTTAAATTATTCTGTTTTTATCAAGTCGACATTAATATAATTCGAACTGAATTGTTGAATCACGAGTTTACCTCCAATAATTTAAAAAACGCCTACAATTACAGACTTTGGAGAATTTGCTAATTTGTTAACTTCGTAGGTCTTTGGATGTATTTAATAGCAAAGATAAGTGAGTGTAAATAAAGCGACAAAACTCAACATACATTCAATTCAGTCATCGTAATACTACTGAATGCAGAAAATCTAAAGGGTCTGTGGTATCTAAAATAAAAATCTGTGGTAGGTAAAACAAATGTACAAGTTACGTTTAGTGTTTAAGCTGCTTCTTTTTTCTTGTACTTCAATTGCACAATCTTAAATTACATAGCGGAACAACTATCGGACCATCACGTCTACATCAAAGGGCACTTTGAACACTTAACGGACGATCACGAACATATCTTCATGCGCAAATTATTAAGGGCATGAATATCCACCTGGGCGATACTAGGCTAAAGGTGATGGTGGCCAATGGTGTTGGGTTATCTGGGCTCGGTGAGCACACAAAGCCATTCAATTTCCTCAGCATGGAAATGGCCCGCTATCGAGACTCGCAGTGCGAACGATTTAGACTTATTTCATTCCTCTTGATGGAAGGTTTCCTTTGATTGTCGTTTTCTAAAATACCGAGCATTTTTTGCGTTTCATACAAGGCGACCTCGTGAATTATTTAAAAATTTTATTCACTGTTACTTTACTTCTCCATTCCCGCGCTTTTTTTAAAATTGCGTTTAAAATGCAACGCAACGCCTTAACAACAAAGCCAGTACGTTCTTGCTCAACGCATTCCAGCGCCACAGTAGATTATAATTTCTGCACATACCTAATGCGCGACTTTCATGCGCACGCAACTACACGGGAGCGTTGACGCAAAAGGCAAACCACATCCTGCACGACAAGCACGTACGGACATCAATCGTCGTTGGCGCATTATTAATCACGTGGGTATAAGTGATCAAAATCTTACTGTATTTTGTCTCGAAAGAAAGTTCGACCGTCTCCATTGTAACGAGCGGAAAAGACGTTTTCACGACAAAAAACAAAAAAAACATGCTGGTTAACGGCCATTAATGTCCAACTGTTTCGAAAGATATCAAACGATAGATTATAGTCTTTTATACGTCCATCTCTTCTTCAAAGGGAAGATAGTGTTTTTTTAATACGTTTTTCTGTCTGTGATTACTGATCCCAAACACTGATTGTTACGAGGGCGGGCATTAAAATTGCACCAAGGATATCAAGCAACATCGTGCTTTTCCCATCCCGCTTTTTCCCTCTTTTTCCGATAGTGGGCGCCAGCACGCGGCTCGCACGTCCTTTCGAGACCGGGCCGTCATTACAAGGAGTTCACAAATTCGCCGCTCTCCGGCGGGTGGCCGCTTAGGCCAGCCGCAACGGGCGTGGCGGGGGAGATGCGTGTCCGGGGAAAGGCGCCAGAGAGGACGGGGCGGCGGTGGTGTGCGCGGCGTTGCGAGTACGATGAAGAGGGATGGAGCGGGACGGGGCTAACCGGTAGGAAGAGGCAGCGCGGGAGAGGGCGGCGTCGAGGGCAGGATGAGACTGTGCTGGACGGGTCGGGTGAGTCAGGGAGAGGAAGGTGTCAGGAAAATCCGGGACAGAGAACGGGGGTGGGGGCAAGAAGGAAAGGGGCAGTGTGAGACGGTGTGGAAAGGGACGGGATGGGCAGGAAGGGACGAGGGATCGAATGGAAGCGAGAGCAATAGTGAGAGCGAGGACATGAATGAGAGAGGAGGCGAGGGCGTGAGAGAGAATGAGAGCGAAGGAGAGGGAGACGGAGAGGTCGAGGATGTGGGGAGGAGGTGTGGGGCGAGGGTGAGGGGACAGGTTACAGGGCAAGAGTGAGGGAGTTGGGAAAGGTGGGAGCGCGGACAAGATAAGATGGACGGTGAGGGTGAGAGTGGGTGCGAGGGTGGGGGTGGAGGGCGAGGGGAAGAGGGTGGGCGAGGGAGGGGATGGGGGGCGAGGGAAAGAACGAGGGCGTTGGTGAGGGAGAGGGCTGGGGTGAGACGAGAGCGAGGGCGAAGATGAGGAAGAATGTGGGGCGAGGGCGAGAGCGCTGGCGACGTCGAGGGTGGGTGCGAGAACGTGGGCCAGAGCGTGGGCGAGGGCGAGGGCGAGGGCGAGGGCGAGGGCGAGGGCGAGGGTGAGGGCGAGGGTGAGGGTGAGGGCGGAGGTGAGGGTGTGAACGAAGGCGGGAAGCCGTGGCGGAGGGCGCACCCTCGCCGCATTATCCGACGCCTTGATGGAAGGGTTCGCGGGCTCAGCGAGGAGATTGCGGCGTGTCGCCTCCGCCGGTTCCTTTCGCCACTAGAGGCCGCTACTACACGCAGGGTGACGTCGAAGCCTTTGGGGCGCCCCAGATCACTAGGCAGTGCATGTTATGGGCGGCTTCGCCAGTAAGCAAACTTAATAGTCCTTTTGCTGTTTTCAAATCTTAAGTAAACAATAACGTAGTTGGGGGTACAATAATTTTTTTTCAATTATAATACAAATGCAAAATTGAAGCACGTACATCAATCGTTTATATTGAAGTGACTAATTTATTTTATTTTATGAAGGGATAATTTTTAATTGTTGATTGTTGACATGGAATTTGTAAAGATTAACTTACAAAGAATGTAATTTTGTTAAAAGCAATAGAGAGCAATAAGAACCTTACTTTGTAGGCTAACGAGTCCTTCATTACCATTGTTTTAAAATAACTTTTTTCTCCTTGCAGGTCTCTCAGATATTTTGCTGAGTGTCAAGAAACGTCTTCGCTTTATGGTTGTTCTCGACTAGCCATTCTGTCTGTTGGTATCCTCAACTTTATTATCGCATTTTCCGACGATAGGGCCAACGGAAACTCTTCACAACAAAAGCGACAAAATTGAAAAGACCAGGGAGTTATGTTGGCAGTACACCTCTTGCAATAAAGTCGAGTAGGAATTTTTCGTCATGACTTGCAGGGAAGTGGAGAGTAGTACTTTGAGTGTCTGCACTTTGAAGGTCTGGAATTTGCGCCTTGGAGACGGTGACCAACTCAACGCCAGCCGTATGCGTGGAATAAGGCACACGTGGTTGGAGTAGGGCAGGCTGGAATTGCGTGGTCTGTGTTCACACTGAGCAACATTGCAGCTCCGTGATGCAACGTGTTCTGCCGTAAAAGTACAATAGATGAATATGCGTCGTAAAACACAGTCTCAGTCTTCGAAAAATACCGAGAACGTCTGCGTGTTCTCGCAAGTGTATGGCGAGGAAATTCATTTTCTGTATCATGATTGAGACGAATTTTGTTATTTCTTGTGTATAAGGAATTATTTATGTTATAAGATGTATAAGATAATACGATGTTAAAGATAAGTTGTCATGTAGGAAGATGTTATAAGATTAGAAGTTGTTTAAATTATATTTATCTTCATAAGAGGAATAATATGTTACGAGTTCTGTTTTTCAGACAACATCTCATTTAAAATAAGTAACAATAATTGCATCAAATAAAATAATTATTAGAGGTCTGAAAAATTAAAACAGTCAATGCATTGAACCAAAACTATCCCCATTTATTAGATATCACCTTGCGGCTAAGTGAAAAGCCATCATTCGAAATGTTTAATAATCATAATGAATTACTGAATGAGCTATAATATAGTCAAACATCTGAATAGAATTAGGAAAAATATGAGAACATGGCCTAATAAAATGTACATGAATGACAATATGGTTAATTTAAAGCAAAGACAGGTAAGAGATTAACACAAAATCACGAAAATCTAAAAAAACAAAGTACATTATGGTGTACATTATACACTAGGAATAAAACTACGTGTAACACAAATATATATCAGGAAAGCAAAAATCATCAAAAAATTCCCAGAAAATAATCCCAGGGAAATGTGATAAGCATTAGGACACGAGTCACAGAGCTCATACATTATTCTGTTATTAAATGTCAGAATGCACTCACGTCGTGCTTCCAGATGACCTTGTAAGCCCACGGGTTGGCGTGCACTTTGCACTCAAAGTACACGTCGTCTCCCTCTTCGATGTCGTCAGGGTTGAGGTTCGCTCCGAGTTGCAGTCGAAGTGCAGGTGCATCTAAACACAAGAGAACTTTGTTGAAGCCACATCATTAAGTTTATTGAAGCGGTATCCGCTGCAGGAACGTTATTGAAAGAAATAGAAAAAAACTGCTTCGAATGAAATATTCAGGAAAAATACATCTTGATATAAATGACATATACATGTCATATGTTGGATCTTAAAATGTACGTAAGGTTTGGCCCAGAGATACACCCTAACGAAATTTCCATCATGTAATCAGAACGGTTTTCGTCTGTCTTAGCTTTCATCATACACTGTCCGGCTGAATTTAGCTCAAAGCTACAATTGTCACATACTCTATAACGGCTGTGACCAGTTTTCTTAGGGATAGTCTCACGACGAAGGGGGAATTTTGACACTAGCTTTATAGCTAGGTCGAATTTAGGTTGTGTGTGTGTGTGTGTGTGTGTGTGTGTGTGTGTGCGTGCGTGCGTGCGTGTGCGTGTGTGTGTGTGGAGAGAATACAATTCGAGAGACCGGTTGGCCTCTCTCATCGGTACTTTTCCATGGGTTTTCAATACCAGACGAATGTGGAAGCAGTACCGAAACTAACTAACAACCGCTTGCGATATTTCCTTACTCATCTCTCCATACACACGTACACTTACACATAGATGTATTACACTACTACAAACGTTGGGAGAGGGAGACCAGACGGGGGCTTATAACTTGTCCCAGCTGGGGCGGTGCCTCCCAAGGAGAGGTACCTGAGGGAGGATATTCCCGACACACCGGGGTATAGTCTGCGCAGAATCCCACAATTCAATAGTGAGGAACCTGCGCCACTTCCGGGATTGAAATATTCACTATTCTAAAGCAACGAATGAGCGGATCAATTCAGACGTCTGTAAAGAATCAATCAAACTACATTGCGATGGAATAAAAATATAATTAAAACTTCCTCTATTTTTTTTAAAGAAGCAAAGTCAAGTACGTCGTTAGTGCTTTACTGGATCCGGATCTACTATTCTTACTTTTATAATACAAGAACCGACATGATGTGCAGTACAGAATGGTTAATTTAAAAAAAATGTGTACCGCTTATGAGCGGATCTCGACGCTTGAGATGGCTAAGAAAGTGTACAGCTTCAGCACTTCGATCCGAAGGGTCGCGGGTTCGCGTTCTGCCTTGCGCATAGTTGTCCGCTGACATCAGATCAGAGGAGCCTCCAGTGCGTCCCTTCGGACGTAAAGAGTAAAGACTGTCGGCTGGATAAAAGCCATAGGAAGAAAATCCGTTTCTAAACAACGCCCGGAAAGGGAAGCAGCTGGGGACAACTTGCTTGAAGCTCCCCGGCTCAATTCCGGCTCAGAATTGTGTCTCAAAATAAAAAATAATAATAATAAAAAAACAACAACGGGAGAAGTGGATCAGGGTTTCAACTGGTCACTGCCGTGCTTCTGAACGGGAGGTCCTAAGTTCGAATTGCGATGGTAGCAGGATTTTCTACACTAGCTGGTTAGCTACGTCGAATTCAGTTGCTGCCTGGAGGAGAATTCCAGCGGCCGGCTGCTCTGATCGGTAGTTTACCGTCGTTTCTCCGATCAACACCAGGCGAATGCCCGAGCAGTACAAACGGGCCATGGTCCGCGCGCGATCTTTCCTTATTGTTCCTTATCCTCACACACTTACATTAACATACCCAACAAAACAGCTTAGAACGTGTCACAACCGGGACGTTTCTTCGCTGGTGGGAGATACCTGGCTGAGGAAAACCCCACTAGCCGCCGACTAGGTCGGCGCCCAATGTCGCCATCCAGCGGGCAACCGCCACTTATCGAGCTAAATCTTGCACTACACTTACGGGAATAACGACCTTAAGTTAACGCGGCCGAGATCACAATCATTAAAAAATCAATAAAATAAACATGTATTCTATTTTAATTCCATTTAACAATTAAAAGTTATTTTCATTGCGTAGAGAGATGATAGAGGGAAGGGGTTTTATGTTTCCAACGAGGGGCCCCCGTGAATCTTCTGCTCGAGGCCTCGTATTTTCACCGGGTGCCCTTGCGAGGCCGTTTATGAGCCACCTTGACGAAACGTTCGCTCTCGAACTTGAGTGATAAAATGTGGCACATAACCTTGAAACCTGCGCCCAGGAAACGGGCGCGCTTTGTGTTTGCAGAGATAAAGGGTACATAAAGTTCAGTTCACATCATGATATATAGAACACTCAGTAACGTTCCAACTCATGCAGTTGGTGCATAAACACTGGTGCAAATCACAGCAATGTGTATTGATTCGTACCTCATGAGACCATCCTTTAGAAGCAATAACGAACGTCGAGCTTGTTTATCTAAAAGCGAAAATATTAATTAAGTTGCGCAGTGTACTCCGATTATTACTTGACTCAGCATTCAAATTTTTATTTCGCGATGACCTATCTGGAGTTGTTTGAATATTATAATCAATAATTTCAATATACTTCAAATAACAATTTTAAAGGGTTTAGTCTCTTAATGATTGAAATTACATTAAATTAATAACTTTAATTTATTTCATCCTTTGTTTGCTATTGTAAACCACCAAGAAGATAAAAAATTTCATTACAAATGTTATCTACAAAAAAACTATCTGTTTTCGTTTGGAATAAGAAGAATGTTCAATTTTTCCAATTGAGTTAGAGTATCAAAACAATTTCTTTCCCATTTCTGTAAATCTCTTTTTTCTGTTCACAGAGCTAATTTTTAAGTATGCTTACGACTTACACCCCATACTGTCCAAATATGTGTTGAAATGGTTCATGCCAACGTTAATATTAGGTTCAAAATTAAAATTTCTCATCCATTAAATGAAGATGGCGTTACAATGGGGGGAAAGTCGATATCCGCCCTCAAAAGACAGTCTCCAAATCGCCAGCCCCGAGCCCAGTGTGTTATTAAACCGTGGAAAAGGAAGTCGTCGAAGGGAACTCTCGTAAAAGAGCCTCCTCCTTTGTAGCCTTTCGCACGCACCGCGGCGTAAGTCTCGGGGGTCAGCGAATTATGAAACCCCTCCTCCACCGCCACCGCCGCCGTCCCTCGGATTTTACACGCCCGCGGGAGCGGGAGCGGACGGCAGCGAAGAAAGAAGCCGCGTCGTCTTCAGAGGGAAATATCGATTTCATGACGTCGCCCTGTCACACGCAGATCCCACGGTTATGAATATCGGCGGGGGCCAGAAGGCTGTTCGAAGGCCCACGGCGGGCCCAGATCGGCGGAGATCTCCGAAAAGGAGAGGAAGGGCGCAGCGATGGCATTTCAACAGCCTGGGGACGGGGATGAAAGGAGGCGGGGCGGGGGGGGGGAGGAGGGGGGATCGGACAAAAGCTGAAGGTGGGCGTGTTGGAAAGTGTGTAGACGGTGGTGGACGCAACAGGGGTATGGGCTGGCGGGCATCAGAGGCGGTGGGTGTCATGGGCGGAGGGTGACGGGGACGGTGGGGTGTCGGGGGCGGGTGGATGGGGGCCAGAAACCGGTTGGTGGGTAATGGGGCGGCGGGCGATCGCGCAGCAATAGCTCGCGCACTGGGAGGAGATGGGATGCGGGTTGGGATGGCAGAGGGAGGGGTGGGATGCGCACTGGTGGTGGGGCGGCGGAGCGGCGCAACGACGCCAGTGGTACGAACCGAGGGTGCGGAGGGCGGCGGTGCGGAGAGGCGAGAGAAAGGCGATGGCGGGGGGGGGCGGTGCAGGGCTATGTCGGGTCTGGCGAGGTAGTTGGGCGGGACTTTGGAGGCGGGCTGGCGGGGGACAGTGGCGGTGTGTGTGTTGCGTGGGAGTGCTCGCGCTAGGCTCATGTGCTCCCAAAGAGTGCAAAGCGATCTCGGCGGCGATAGTGAGAAGAAATAGACCGCGCGAAGGTGGCAGCGCTTGATTGAAGCAAAGTCGACGGAAGACGGGAATATTTTCGAGAGGTGAAGGTTAGACGTTAAGTAGAACGAGATGGAGAAAAGTAGTTCATATGAAAGTATAAAGTACTAACATTGAAGTTTGCACTTTTAAATGTACAACTTTATCAACCATCAAGAAACAGTGTAAGAACAAGTAGGTAAAGATTTGCAGTGCCTAAGATTGAATGAGATGAAAGTTAATTTTATTAAAGTAAGATATACATTGTATATCAATATTTTATCTATCTCGACCTGACTGTTTATGTGTATACCCTTTTACAAATTTTTATACGTAGACCTATTTTTATTTATTTATAAATAAAAATATGTATTTGTATTTATAATACAAATTATTTATTATATGCATTTGTATTTATAAATACGTATACGTATTTGTATTTATTTATAAATATAAAATAAGATTTTACAACGAGATTATGTGAGTACGACGTAAGATAAGATGTTTCTAAGTTCCCTTCATATATCACTTCAAACGCTAGTCAATTTACTGCCCAAGAATCAATATATGCTAAGAGTAATACTATTTGGACCTACGTGTGAGAAGTGGAACCCATTATAAACGAACAACACTATTTCATTGCGGACATAGCATACATCAGAAAGTTTTCCATCATACTAGAATACGTCACAAAATATTAGTAGAGCGTGGATTAAATTTAGGGTGTTATTTTCGTTATTCAAAATTGAAGCTTAATTTGTTATCTGAAATCCTAAAAATGGCGTAATTCGATGTATTCAATTTACAATGGAAATAACATTCATATAAGTTTAAATTGGAAACAAATTTCTAATGTAAACATGAATTAAATTTGTACGAATTTTCCAACAAGAGATTAAGCCGAGGTTTGTTTCATGTATGTCAAAATTAAATTGTTTTGCTTTTATTAAGAGCGAATTAGAATTGGCGACAGATGAAAATTTTAAAAATATGGCTTGGTTTATTACTTCAAATCGTTTGTTTGAAAATGATATCCGCGAGGAAAGAAAATTCAACAAGCAGCAAGTGCAACCGTTTTTATCAGGAAAATGTGGGAAGAGTAAATTAGAAAAGAACTGAAAGATCTATAAATGTGCCAATAGTAACAGTCAGTATGAGAAT